AGAAGGATGGTTTTATAACTGTTGCAAGGAGAAAAAAGAAATAACCTGCGCAGATAGTTCTGGTCACTCCTAGAATTACTAGGAATGCAGCTAAAAAGCTAGCCCAAGCTTTTTCTGCCATTCCATGATGAATTGCATTATATGGAATGTATGTGGTCTTGTTTCTTCCTGTCCAAGACTACGTGATTTAATTAGGCAGTGGAGTATTAATTTATTGGTTGTTATTGAGCCAATTGTTTCTTCTTGCAAAATCAATGATATTGTTATGCAATTGGGTTTGAATTCTGTTTTTTTCCTGCAATGAGAACAAGATTTGGCTTTTCAGGGATAAGTCTAAGCTTGTTATTAATAATATTTCTAATGGGAGTTAGTTTATTCACATGCAAATCCTTGCTGGGGCATATCAGTTTTGGTTTACTGCTATTTATGGCAGTCACAGCTATATAGAAAGAAGGGCTCTTTGGCATTTCTTGGAAGGATGGGCTAATAATAATACTGATCCTTGGTTTGTTGGGGGTGATTTTAATTCTATTGCTAATAATGGTGAACACAAAGGACACAGTACCCCTATTTTGAGCAATATGACTGAATTTAAAGACTGCTTAGCTACCTGTGACCTCATTGACTTACCAGTTCATTGATCTTCTTTGACTTGGACTGGGTTAGAGCCAATGGACGGGTTTGGCGCAGGCTGGATAAAGTTTTGTTCAATACTTCCTTTGTGGGTCTGTTTGATAGTATTCAAATCACTCACTTGAACAAAAGCTCTTCTGATCACTCTCCGCTCCTGCTGCAATGCAAAAATCAATTAGTACTTGGGCCCAAACCATTTAAAATTCAGAACATGTGGATTTCACATTCCAATTTCCTTGAAACTGTAAGTAATGCTTGGATTTCATTCCCAACTACTGGTGGTATGAGGGGACTTTACAATAAACTGCGGTCTTTAAAACAAGTTCTTAAAGTGTGGAATAAAGACACTTTTGGAGATTTATTTCAAGATATTAAAAAGTTGGAGGCAGAAGTTACTGAGGCTGAAATCTTATATGAATCCAATTCTTTGGAATAAAATAGGGAGGCCTGGTCTTATAAACAAGCCTTGATACTTTCTACACATAAGCATGAAAATGAATTTTGGAAACAAAAAGCTCGTACTAAATGATTAAAGGAGGGGGATGCTAATACTAAATTCTTTCATGATTATGTCAAAGTTAAAAGGAGGATGCAAAGCATTTCTACTATCAAAGATTCTGGTGGTCACTTGTGTACTTTGCCTGAGGATATTGGGAAAACTGTTGTGAACTACTTTCAAGATATATTTGCAGAAGAAGAGGTTGCTGATATAGATTCAATCCTGCAATACATTCCAAAGTTAGTAGACAACGGTGATAACAGCATGCTGATGCATTTACCAATATCTGAAGAGGTTAAAAATGCAGTTTGGGATTTTGATAAAGATAGTGCTGCCAGACCTGATGGTTTTAATGGAGTCTTCTTCAGGCATTGCTGGTCAATTGTGGGTGATGATGTGGTCAAGGCTGTTCAGGACTTCTTTTTAGGGAATCTTATTCCCAAGGTAATGGCTAGTTCTCTAATTGTTTTAATTCCTAAAAAAAAGGAAAATTTCTCTACCTTTTCTGATTTCGGGCCTATTAGCCTTTCTAATTTTATTAGTAAGGTCTGCACTAAGATTTTAGTCTCCAAGCTTATGTCATTTCTTCCCAAGTTGATTTCTATTGAGCAAGCTGGATTTATGAAGGGGAGGGATATTTCTGAGCATATTTTGGTGGCACAAGAAATGGTCAACTCAGTTGACAAGAAGGTCAGGGGCACTAATCTCATTGTTAAATTGGACATGGCAAAGGCCTTTGACAGGCTATCTTGGGAATTCCTACAAGCAATTCTTCTTCAGTTTGGTTTCTCTGCGGATTTTGTTAATCTGGTGATGAATCATCTTAAATCTACTCATTTTTCTGTTCTTATAAATGGTTCGCCTATGGGTTTTTTCCAGCCTCATAGGGGAGTAAAGTAGGGGGCCCACTCTCCCCTTATTTATTCATGTTAGCTACAAAAGCCTTGTCTAGAGGATTGAAGAGTCTTGCTTCTAATAATAAGATTAAGCCCTATTGGATTGGTCCAGTTGGACAATCTATTACTCATCTTTGTTTTGCTTATGTAATCTTAATCTTTCTAAATGGGGAGGCCAGATCTATTCTCAATTTTAAAAGGTTTTTGGGCCTTTATCAAAGAGCTTCATGACAAGCTATTAATTTTGACAAAAGCACTTTTATTTGTGGGAAAACCTCCCTGGCAAGAATTAGGAATATGGAAAAGCTGATTGGGATGACTAAAACCAATTTGCCCATGAAATATCTTGGATCTTTTCTGCACAAAGGGGTAAACAGAAAGAGTTATTGTCAAGGAATATTCCAAACTTTTGATAAAAAGTTGTCAACTTGGAAGCAAAATCATCTTAGTTTTGGGGGGAGACTAGTGCTCATTAAGCATGTTCTGAACACTCTGCCTTTACACATACTAGCAGTAGACACCCTTCCCAAAGCTGTTAGTAGAAATTCGGAAAAAAAATGTCCCACTTTTTATGGGTTCTAGTGTCAGTAAGAAAAAATACTAGTGGGTCATATGTTTGTCATATGAGGAAGGTGGTTTAGGCTTAATATCCTTGGTTGATATTGAAAAAGCCTATTCTTTAAAGCTTTGGTGGAATTGGAAGAATATGAAATCAAATTGGGCAAAATTCTGTCATGTTAGATATCCAAGGGGTTTCAATATGGTGTCTAAAGCTCAGGATTCATCTATTTGGAAGAGAATTTGTAAGGTACATAACTTGGGGCAGTCCTTATGTATGCAGGATAATGAAGGCCAGATTATTTGGGTACCTGAAAGTAATGGAAGATTCACTCTTTCCTCTGCCTTTCAGCAAGCCAGGAGGTCTAGAAATGCAACTTTCTCTTTTGAGCATTCCTGGAACAAACACCAACAAAGTCAAGTTCACATTTTTCAATGGAAGAGTATTAATAGGATTCTTCCCTTTCCTGATAACTTGAAAAGATTTAACTTGATAGTTTATCCTACTATGTGTCCCCTTTGTAAGCAGCATTTTGAATTCATGGACCATTTTCAGCTTAGATGTCCATTTAGTTGGGATATTTGGAGGTATTTCCTTGGAATTTTTGAAGTTCCTATTCTAACTAATCATATTTCTCTAAGGCAGATGTTTATTACTTGGTGGCTTGAGGCGGGTTCTAAAACTCTAATGGATATCTTTAAGCACAATATGGCAGGGATTATTTCTTGGCATTTATGGAAAATTTATTGTCAGCTTAAATGGGGTGACCTGAAGGAAATCCCTAATTCACATATTGTTATTCATCAAATTAAAACCTATACGCAGCAATGGTCTGAGGCAGTTTTGAGTAAACTCAAATTAAGCAACCTCAGTTCAATTCTATTTGAAGAGCGTTTAATATCTACGTCGTTTAGACCCATCAGAACAAGAATTCGAGCTATTAAGTGGAGCTTACCTTCTCTTAACTTCAAGATGAATGTTGATGCTGCATACAATCCGGCTCAGGCAGCAGGAGGAGCTGTGATTAGATCTCGATCAGGTGAGTTTCAAGTTGCTTTACCCTTTCCCATTTCAGTCTCTTCAGCTATGGAGGCACGGGATATCGGAACTTTGAGGTGGAAATGGACTCTAAGCTAGCGATTGATGCTATTTTAGCGGAAGATCTGGAGGGGCGATGGAAGAAGGTGATTTGCGAGCTTAGAAGATGGATGGTCAAAAACCATATATCCTTCAGACATATTCTACGAGGTATAAATTGGCCTGCGCATTATCTATCTAAATTAAATTTGCCAGATCAGACAATTTTAAATAACATCAGGTGTTTGCCTAAATTTATTAGACGGGTTATTAATTGCTGATAAATTAGGACTGAGTTACTTTAGATTTGGCTAATTATTCCGTTTTTCTTTTGTATTGGGTCAGGTTTGGTCCCCTAAATTAGGACTGAGTTACTTTAGATTTGGCTAATTATTCCGTTTTTCTTTTGTAGGGAGGTTTGGGTTTGGTCCCCTCTCTTTCTGTACTCATCTACTTTATTAATAAAATATATGACTCATGGCACTTGCCCCACTGATTTTGGTGGTTTGCCTTCTGGGATAAAAATAAATAAATAAAACATGGATTATTAAATGAAACTTTATATCTTTAATGAATTTATTTATGTTTAAATGTCACATGGTCATGACTATAAAAGTATACATTAGGGAAAAAACTTTTAGTAATTTCACTCTCTCTAGAGATTTTATATACTATTGACCTAAATCAAACAATTCGTTTCATTTCTTTTGTAATCACATATACTATTGTTTCGCGACACAATCTGAATGCAGTTATGTTGTGTTATGCTTTTTAATGTACTTCAAGCTCTAATATTGTAGGAAACAATAATATGGTTAATAATACTACCTCCGTCCCACTAACATTGTGACAAGAAGCACAATTATTTAGAAAAGTGAGTTTATGTGATTGATATTTTTGTTTATGTGATTAATATTGAATTGATAAAGTAAGAATGAAGTAAAAATGGTTTAGAGTCACACAAGCTTTATCAAATTTGGTATGAGATAATCTTAGTGACATTTTTCGAAAAGTAAAAAGAGAGACAATCTTAGTGGGACGGAGGGAGTAATATTTTAACACTTTATATTACTCTCTCCCTCTATGAATTATGGATACATTTTTACTTTTGATCTATTCTTAAATTATCTTATATTTCTTTATTTTTAGAAAGTATCATGTTATTCTCATTTGAATAAGTTTTAATATCACATTTATATTTTTAAACTCTATCCTACTCAAATTTAGTTAATAATTTATAATTGGGTGATAAAGTTCGATGAATTGTGATTTGATTTATAATGGGGTTTAATGTAATTTGATGTGTAAGTGAACAACTTCCAATTGGGTAACAAAATAGGTTTTGAAAAATACAATTAACGGGCAACAAGTTTAAACCAGAGCAGAAGACAATAGGAGCAGATTTCAACGGTCGCCGTGAAGAGGAGAAGGTAGAGAAAGAAAATGCTGAAACACGTCGACGTCTGCAAATCCACGGCGGGGCTGAAAACGGCTAGAATGCCATTACGAAACCTCTCGAACTCCAAAAACGGAGCCAGAGGTTTCTCCAGATCCAGTAAGACTAAGATGAAGCTGCCGGGAATGAAGGAACACGAAGATCCATCCGTCTGCGATAACTCCCTTGACCGTCTCCTTCTCATTCACTCCGACCTCTCATCCATCGTTGGACAGGTATATCCAGTGGAAATGAACTTCAGATATTGAATTCCACAGATCCATTCTAAAGAGATGCTGAATTAGATGTTGTTAGAAGTCTGAAATTTAAGAGATTTGGTTTTGTTTTCCTATAATAGCATATCGTTATCGATTATCTCATTTGTGCTCGAAATCCCTAAAATTTCAACCCGAACTATCCGAATTGCATTTTTTTTTTTCATTTTCTGGTGATTTTGTGTAATACAGATCGATGAACTTGTTGTGAAGGCGCTACAGAGCAAGAAAGGGTTTAAGGAAATCAATTCGTTCGCAAACTTTCTCTCTGAAATGCAAGCATCTTTGAAGGTCAGTTCTTAGATTCAGTCGTCCAGTTTTGGCACATTGCATTCTTTGTAAACTGTAAAGTTTTATTTTCTCTTTTTATGTGAACTTTGCAGCTATGGCTTCCAATATTCCAGAAACCATTTTCTGACCCCTCTATTCCTGAAAATGTTCCACAAGAACAGCCTCCAGCAAGCAAGGATGATTTAGACAATCCTGAGAAATGGGATTCCATGGTTTGTTCATCACCACTGGTTTCTTGGCGTGGAGATTGCACTTCTGAAAGTGACATGCAACCTTTTCTCATGACTCCTTTGCATCAACAACCTAAAGTATTTTCATCCAAACTCAGAGAGGAGGTTGGAACTGACAAAATTGCTAAGCTGCCATCCGCTTTTGATGAAATGCGAGATGCGGGCGAAGATACTTTGCTTGGCAGTGCAAAACCAGAGAATCCATTCATACTAATGACGCCTTGCTTGAAAGTTTCACCACCAAAGTCATGTATAGTGCTTGAACCTGTATCAGAATATCGTCATCATAAAGGCAATCTTAAGTCTCATAGATCAACTCCATATCCTGTTGCAGTGAAGTCTTTAAGTGGATCTCAAGATTCAGATTCATCAGATGATCATGCTGTGAAATATCCGGAACTGCTTGGGATTAAACTGCGTAATAAGTTTGAGAACACATGGAAGTTGGATGAAGAGTTATCAAAATTGTCGCCTCCTAAAACATGTGTTCTACTGGAGCCGGCTGAACACGTAACCAACGGCTGCATGGTCTCAGAAACTGAAGTGAATCCTAATCAGGAAAAGTGCTCGTCAAAAAACAATCATACTCGAGGTACATTCATTTTCAGCCGAAGAAACTTGCAGGAAATATGCTTTTTATAGAGAAAGGCTGAAAATGAAAAATTGGATTAAAGAAATTGGAATGAAAGAAAATGCAAGTAAAACCTTTGAAAAATTTAAAATACTGACAAATCAAATGTGTAAAAATAACTTATGACTGATACTCATTTTATCCAGGGTTCACATCTGATTTAGTTCTTTGATTCTACACTACGAGTTTCTTTCCTTTACTGTATCATACAAATGCTAATAAATCTAAATATAGGTCATTGAAAATAAAAATAAAAATAAAAAGTTATCGTGTTTCGTATTCCTTCGGATTATGTAAGGTTACAAAAAATAAAAATAAAAACAATTGCCTGATCGATTTTTTCCATGGCAAACATGACATTAATTTGACTTGACTTTCTCGTGTGATCATGATAGGCAAGTGCGAGCTAGTTGAAAGCACTCCCATGACGAAAGAACCCGAGAGGAATACTCAACAACATCCAGGTGAGAGCACTCTAAAGAGAGAACTTTGGACCTTGTTTGAGGAAGCATCTAAACCGCCAATACAATTCGACCCACCTAGTGTACTGAAGACGAATCTGCAGAAAGGGTTTCTTGACAGATTGGAAGATGAAGTTTCTTCTCATATTTGAAGGATATGATGATATGGAAAAACTTTTGGCGCCACCGTAAAAGTTTGTATCTTATAAGAATGGAAAAAGCGGTGTGAAAACATCATGAATGTTTGTGATGACTTAAAGTGCCTCCTTTTTGTCATTGTAGAATCTGTTTTTGTATGACAAAAATTCATAGACCAATATGTTATAAATAAACTTGAGTTGAAAAAACAAAATTAACAAAATCCTTTTGTTATCAACACATTAATTGATATCAGGCTCTCTTTCACGGCCCTTATCTCTGCTTTAGTATTTTGGTATCATAAATTTTTGAGATATTACCCAAAATAGGACTAAAAAGGTTTGAAAATTCCAAAATAGGACTTCCATGTTTTTATTCCTAAAATAGGACTAATTACTGTCATGTTTTGGCAGTACCAGACTTCAAACATGGCAGTATTTTTCAAACTTGGCAGTAATTACTCCTTTTTTGGGAATAAAAAACATGACAGTACTATTTTGGAATTTCCAAACTGTTTTAGTCCTATTTCAGGAACTTTCCCAAAAAATTTTATGAATCAGACAATGCATATTGACCAATGACCACCACCACTAGATCGGTATTCATCATCACTCTCATTCATTCCTCTCTTTGAATGCAAACCATCTTCAAAGCTGATTTTTGTTCTCTTTATTGCAGAATCTATTTTTGTATGACAAAAATCCATAGACCGGTATGTTATAAATAAACTTGAGTTGAAGAAACAATTAACAAAATTCTTTTGATATCAACATATTAATTCATATCTAGCTCTCTTTCACGATCCTTATCTTTTGTTTGGTATTTTGCTATCATAAATTTTCATGAATCAGGCAATGCATATTCACCACCACCACTAGATTGGTATTCATCATCACTCTCATTGATTCCTCTCTCTGAATGTAAACCATCTTCAAAGCTGATTTTTGTTCTCTTCATTGTAGAATCTGTTTTTGTATGACAAAAATCCATAGACCAGTAAGTTATAAATAAACTTGAGTTGAAAAAACAAAATTAACAAAATTCTTTTATTTTTACAACTTACAAACACACTAATTGATATCTAGCTCTCTTTCACGATCCTAATCTCAACTTTGGTATTTTTGTATCATAAATTATCATGAATCAGACAATGCATATTCACCACCACCACTAGATTGGTATTCATCATCACTCTCATTCATTCCTCTCTCCGAATGTAAACCATCTTCAAAGCTGATTTTTGTTCTCTTCTTGCCTGAAGCACTCCCCTTGAAACTTGAATAGTCCTACAATGACACCAAGCAAAGCCAGACAAACAATGTCAAATTATACTTTTACCCTTCTAAAAAATGGAGGCAAATGAACTTATACCCCTTCATCTTTCAATTCATTGGCAGCAACTGTTTGTCTATTCCTGACCGTCACTCTTGAAGGTACTGGGAACTGTTCTACTTCATCATTTGACTTCCCTTCTCTGGCCCTCTTTTTCCTCAATGTCAGTTTTGTAGGAACAGGCTGAGTGCATTGCATTGTACAACATGTTAGTATTCCATACTAGGATTTCATAGGGAAGAGCTTATGCATAATGCTAAATTCAACCTTGGCTAACTAAACTACTTGTTTATTTACTAAAATGACATATTTTAGGACAGAGAGTATAGGATGTTTACCATGTAGCGTGCCACTGTTTTGTCAGAAGCAACAAGGAATGTGGTTGGATCATCTGTGACGTCACCGCGTACCTGTTGAAGTATTAAAATTATATAGACTACAGATTTCGAAGAAAAAATAAGCAAACAAATTGAAACTCCAAAGAAACTTCAAAATGGTTACATACATCCCAGTGATATTCGCGCACCCATGTGTATGAGATATCCTCATCTTCATCAAACATATCCTTCTCTAGCTGTCAAATAAAAATCAAGTTAATGAGTAAAACCTAGTTTAGATAGGCAAGCTAAACTTGAAGGTTTGTGGCGGCGGGGGGGGGGGGGGGGGGCAAGTCTACCTCATAGGGTGAAGGGACCATATATGCCAGAAATTTATCAGGATTAGTGGAATCGGAACCTCTAGCAACAAAGCTCTTCATAATTGCCTGGAGAGCATCATGAAGGGAGAATCAAGTTTTACTGCAAAAGGAAACTTTTTTTTTCATTCTTTGCTCAAAATATAGAACAGCCCATCTTACACGATCTTCATGTTTATCTCGAATAGACTTGTCTAACTTGCTGTAGTTCTCTGCATCAGCAGTAGGAGCACTATCAAATGTTGCAACCACAAACTGGTCTTTGTACCTGTATGAAAAAGGGGTGTTCTTTAATAACAATGAAGTTCAAAAAGTAGCAATAACAATGATCACGAAAAAATGCTAGGCGAATGGAAAATGTCAAGAAAAGTTTTTTCACTTTTTGCAAAGATTGGTTTTACCTAGGAAAAAGAAATATCATTAGTTTTTTCATTTTTTGTAGATGAAAAACTAACCGATCTAAGTCAGGAAGAAGGGGAAGAACTTTGAGCGGCTGCAATCTTGGATTGGTCGCATGAACTGGACGTGACTTGCATGCCTCAAAAGAAGCCTTAATTTGTTGTATCTGTCTTTCCCTGATAATATATATCAGGGTATATTGTCAAAAGAAAAATTTAAAAACTATAAGAAAAATGGTCCATGTCTATTTAAGTCATTCACTAGCGACAAAAAACAAAATGATGGAATGTAACCTGGTATTAAGGTTGTCCAAAATATTGCAGCCTCCTTTGGTCTCTCGTAATTCTTTCGCTTGCTTTTCAGTTAGAGACTATAGAGAATTGAAAACAATTAAGGTATTGTTAGGCATTAGAAAATAATCAACTTTTGGTCGCACATCCAGTATGTCATTTTCACTTTTGGTTCTTGACTTCAATTTTTTCCGATTATGGCAGATAAGTGATCAGAACCAAAAGTGGCAAGAAATTCAAATTCTCATGCACAAAAGTGGAAAAATAACATACTAGTATGAGACCAAATAATGGTTTTTTTTGTTTTATACAAAAAAGTGTATCCGTGAGAGCAAAAATTTTAGAAACCTGTCTCGTTGAATCCGCACTTAGAGAGGAAATATATTGTGTTTTTACAAGCCAAGAGACACCCTTGTCAGTTGGCCTATCTTTCCTTTTTATGCCATCTTTCTTGATTGGTGTTACAGGATCATCATCACGCAACAAGGCCTCATCCTCAGCATCCAAGGGAGTCAATTCGCCCTTAGGAGGACTACCAAACAGAAATTAGTGTAACTAGTATTGTTGTAGCTTAAAAAACCAGCTGTCGGGGAAGCTATGTATGAAAGGAGAAGCATACTTATATACACTGAGATCAAGTAGGTCAAGCGGGATTCCAAGATCTGGCTCAACATATAGTTGTGGTTTGTGCACTTTCTCTAATGAAGTGATTGTGTACTTGGTAAATCTGCATATGTAACCTTCTTGCCTTAAACAACAGGGAATAGGCTAAAGAATGCAACTATAGAGCCTGTGGTTATGAAAAGCTAAATCATTTAGGGCCTCTTTGGGAGGGTAGTATTATCAGCAAATTAAGCACATTAGGTTGCTGCTTACTTAGGAGATGTTTACTTGCGACTTAATGGGCTTAACCGGGTCAGTGGCTTCATTGAATCATCGTTCAGCCATTAAATAATGTTAATGTACAACTTAAATGAAAACATGATGTACTTATTCACTCAAAAACTGACTTAATCATAAAGCTGAAATATCTTACTTATTCCCATTAAGGCAACTATAAAGACGTCTATTAGACTAAATAAATGTATATTAATAACTGACATTATTCATTGACAATGTAGCCGAAAAGAATTTCATATAATGAGATCACTTAATTCAGAAAGACATCTTAATACATACAAACATCATAATCCTGACATGACTGAATAGAAAAGAAGTACCCAGCTCCTTAATTGGCTATACACCAAACGCTTTTGCTTTCCAATAAAAGCCAACCATCTCAGCAAAATTACACTAACCAAATGGTCACTTAGAAACAACTAAATATAAGATCATTTAGATCCACTCTAGGATGGCAATGAAGAGTAAACACATAGTAATAGATCCATACATCATAGAGCGCTAGAAAAAATAGATCGTGGTTTTGTTTGGCATGAAATACAGCATATTAGCATAGCTTGGGGCTTTGAGCTATGATCATGCTTAAAGAACTTTTGGTAAAAAACACTACGGAGTAGCTTAAATAAACTTTTATTTTCAAATTCTCTCTTATTAGTGTGATAGATGCCTTGATAAAAAGGAAGTTCTTTGATTTTCAAATGTTTACTCTAAAAGGCATAATTCAGACATATTCTAAACACAATACATGGGTATGCATTAGTATATATGATATGATGAGACAACAAAAACTGTGTACCTATCTTTGTCTCTTCTTAAAGACATTAGCTTTGGTTGTGCTGTTGGATCTGGCAATTCGTTTCTAAACCTGCACACACACACACAAAATAGTATATACATACCTATCCAAACAGAAGTTTTAAACATTTGAAGTGTCATTTTTCATTATCATCATTTTCATTTACCCCAGTGCCACAAAGGCTCCCACCTATGGTGGGGTAGGGGGGGTCGGATATACGCAGTCTTACCCCTGTACTAAAGCACAGAGAGACCGTTTCCGGATGACAAAGATTCATTATTTTTTTGCTTGAGAATATGATGGAATAAAGCAAAACGTCTCACTAAACTGCCTGCCCTTCTTTGTTACGAAGCAGCAGTCAGTCCATGCAATTTTTCGACGCGATTTTCACTATGGATCATCCGGAAACAGTCTCTCTGTGCTTTAGTACAGGGGTAAGACTGCGTACATCGACCCCCTTACCCCCCCACCGTAGGTGAGAGCCTTTGCGGCTTTGCGGAACTGGGGTAAATGAAACATTTGAAGTGTGATGAGAAAAAATGTACTGAACTAGCAAATAAGTGATTAAATGAAATGTCTTAAATTAACATATCAGTATAAGAACCTCAGCTTGCAAAGAAATGTAGTTGGTTTCTTCAACCGGTTTTCAGATCTCTCCCCGGTCAACAAGGGAGTAGTCTTCCTGTCAGCTAGTTGCGACGCACTAATGGAACCGTGAGCCTTTGCTCCAGAAGCTAACATTTGAGTTTTTTGAAGCACCTTGTTTTGAGATTCTTTTAATTGCTGCCTATGTTTCTCCTCATTCCTTTGTTTCTCATAGTCTCTCTTCTTTCGTAACCTCCTTTCTTCAT